GCATTTCTCTTTGTTTCTCATTTTTGGTAAAGCTTCCAGTATGTTTCACCATTGAGTAAAATGCTGACTTTTGGGCTGAGGTACACACACACACACACACACACACACACACACACACACACACACCATGTTAAAGTATCTGTCGTTTCTTATTTTGTTCACTTTTAAAAAAAATATGAGTAAATATTAGACTTCATCAAATACTTTTTCTAACATCTACAGATATTATCACTTGCTTTTTCTCGGTTACTCTATTAATAGCATGGATTACATGAAAGGAATTCCTAATATTGAATCACATTTACTTTCCTGGAAGAAAACCCACTGGTTAAGACATGTTATATCTTTAAAGTGCTGTGATATTCTGTTTGCTAACATCTTAGCTATGACTTCATGCATTGATATTAATATATGAGATAAGTCTAAAATTTCCTTTTAAAAATGTAATAGTTTTGATATGGGGGGGTCAATGTTATATTTCTTTCAAAAATAAAGTTGGAAAGTTTATTTTTTATTATGCTCTAAAATTTAAAATAATATTGAGATTACCTGATAATTAAGATTTAGTAAAATTCCCCCGTGAAAATGTCTAGATGTGGGGCTTTCTGTAGACAAAAAAAACCCCCAAATCCTCCATGGTAAATAAACTGTTTTTCTCTTTTTTTTGGGGGGGGGGTCAATGCTTATAAATTGTGTTTTTCTAAAATTTATCCATTATTTTCTAAGTCTCCAGCTGAGCAAAGTTGTTTCCTATTCTTTTAAGTTCTTCTGTTTTGATGGTGTATTATAGTTATTTTCATTTTGTCATTTCTAATTTTGTGAATTTACATTCTAATTTTTCTTAATTAGGTTAGCTAGTGACTTGTCTTTTTCTTATTTGTTCTTTTGTTATTTTAGGAAAAATAGCTTTGCATTTACTGTTTATATTCTGTGTTTTGCTTTACAAACTTATTGATTTCAGCTCTTATCATTGTTAATTCCTACCTTTGCTGTTCTTTCTAGATATTTGCTGTGTAGTGTTAAATTTATTTTTATTACTATAATGGTACATTTGATCTGATATTTGTTTTATCCGCCCATAATATTACACTATCATTATTACTATTTTTAATAAAATATGTAAATTGATTTGTGTTCCTCTTTGACCCAACACCTTATTTAATGACATGGTTTATACTTCTAGGTACAAGTGCCTTCTTGCTTTCTGGTTTATTATTAAGTTCTATTTTCATTGCATTTCAGTTAGTGAATACTTTTGTGATACATCTGTTCTTTAGAATTTCTTCAGGATGTTTATCATGTCAGATGTGATATATTTTGTGAATATTCCATATGCCCTTGAGAAAGAAATTATATTTTCTGTTATTGAATTTCAGAGTTCAAAACAGATTTATAAGTTCTGTTTTATGAATTATGCTGTATATGTCTCCTATAAATTTTCAAAGGATAATGTGTCTTGAATTTTTAAAATGAACCAAAGTAACCTATTATTAATATGTCTCTTTGCATTTCCTAGCATTCCCTGTGGTTTCTCTTTGAAATATGTTTTGCATTCTTTTTATTTTTCATTCTTTTTTCTTGTATAATTTGTCCATTCTTTTATTGTCAACTTTTCTAAATCTCTTTATTTTCAGATGTGTCTCTTATACACATAAATGTGTTAAATTTTTCTTTGTCAGCCAATTTGAAAATACCTGTATCTTAACAGGTAAGTTATATCCATTTACACTTATTGATGTGATCAATATTTTTGGACTTACTATATTTTAAAAGTAATATTTATATATGTGAGTCTTTTATATTAAGTTTTTCACTGTATTCTATTTTATTGTGCTTTCATTTTTATAGAGGAGTTTTAAGTTTTATTCTTATGGTTATTTTTATAGTAATATTTTTATATAAAGACCTTGGTTATCTCTCTTTTTAGTTTTTGTCTTTTATTTTTTGGTAAAAGATTCATTAAAATTAGTTGGTAATCTTTTCTTTTCCTTCCTCTCCATGTCCTCAAGCAACTATTTGTTGTAATATCCTTTTATTCCTGGTTAATAGCCATAAAGAAATCAAAAACTCATTTTAAATTTTATATATTCTTGCTATTGTCCCTGAATTGTTTGATACTTTCTTGTATCTATGTGGTCAAATTGCTTATAAAACATGACACTCTTTCTTGTAACCATCATTTCATTTTAATTCTAAAGTTATGCTCACACCAATTCTTATAATGATATTTCTCCAGTCATTTTGGTTGCCTGAAGAAACTCATCTAGTAGCTTCCTCATAATGTGTTCATGAGAACAGTATTCCCTGATTTTTATAATAGTTTATTTTTAGCCTTTATATGTAAAAACCTGTTCAAATGGACATTAAATTCTGCTTATTTCCCTTTGTCTCTTGCAAGCAGAGCTATGTTAGGTAGATAGAGTATATCTCCTAATTTAGTAGCTATTTATGACACTGCTTAAAGAAATTATTATGCTGAAACCTCAATATAGATTATATATATGTATGATATGTGTATCATAATTATAATATTTATGCAATATATATTTTGTATATATGCATTATGCTATTATAAATTCATACATAAAGATTTATATATAACATTTATGTATTGATTTTCAAAATATTTAGTAGGAGCAAAATCCAGGATTCAAGAAATAGTATTTATTAGTAGGCACAATATTTTCTCCTCTTATCCTTTGAAATTCCATTACCTTCTTTATAAATTGCTCTTTAAACATATCTCTTATTGCTTCATGTTACAATTTATTATAAGTATTTCTATGCTTCTTATTAGCATGTGGTTTCTTTGAGGACAGAGACTATATTTTACTCCTTTTTTTCCACCATAGCCCAACACAGTGCCTAGAACATAGTGGAAATCATTTGTATTTGTTTAATTAAAATTGAGTCTGAATTTCAAAATACAAGTGTGAGATTATTTTTTAAGTATAAGTAGGATAAATAATAGTCCAAAAGTGATGATTTTATTTCTTGCTTTGAGAATTTTTCAGAACAGAGTCTAGCAAATTTTATCCTGTCTTCTAACTATCATTGAACATACAAAGTCATGGAACCATGAACAAGCATGACAAGTCCTGGAACTCCAGGTAGCCAGGCAACACTGGAACAAAAGATATGGGGATGAATGCACAACGATATTAGTGCCAGATTATGAAGCCCTATAAAGGATTTCATTAAGAAGTTTGCTTTTATCTTGTAAGCAATGGGAACATTTTACAAATAACTTTTGTGTTAGATGATTCCCCTGTAGAAGAATAACAGATACGTTGGTGATAAAAAGGTGGTGATAATGCTGAATGTGAAGATGAGGAAAGGCTGGAGAAATTAAAAATCTGAAAAAGATAATTTAGGCCAGAATTAAGAAAGCCTTAATGGGAAAAGATATTCTGGAACTATATAACATAAAAACAAATATGATTCAGGTCATTTAGTGAAAAATTGAATGTTTAGGGTGAGCAAAAGGAATTCTAGTAAACTCCCCATATTCTAGACTTTGATAACCGAGTGTTTTCCATACTGTTATGATTAGCAAGTTATTAATAATAGGAGAGGGGAAGGCCAGACACTATAGGCATGTCATTTGGGCAGCTTCACCAGGAAGCTGCAACTTTGCATTTCCTAGGGAACCACCAGACCATTCCCTGCAGATCACACTGGGACGGGGTTCAACAAAGGGGAGAAAGATGCATGCCCAGTGAAGCTGGTGTGACATAAGGAAGGTGCTTGACTGTTAGTCAAACCAGGGAACAGAGATCATCAGCAAGAATAAGCAGGGACATTGGAAGCCCATGAAAATTTAGGGATACATAATCCCCCAAACAAAGGAATTCTCTCTCTTGGCTCTTGGCTCATGGGTCTCCCTTGTTCCTGCTTCCTTGCATTTGCCCATGTTTCCTGCTTAGCCATGTGGATCCATGAACTTCACATGCAACGGACCAATGGACTGCAGTGGGGAACACAAGCTAAACTAGCCTGATGCTGGATTGGATACTGCTCCAATGTGGAATGGAAACTCTGGACAATGACCCTGATTCTAGCCCTACTGAAGCCACAGCTACACTTCTTCCTTGGAGGGACAAGGGGAAATGGGGCCTTGGAAACTCAGAGATGTAATTCCACAGAGATAAAAATCACTTGTTCTCCCTGAGTCTCCGAAAATTCTTTTTCTCAGGATATCGCAAACAATCCACTCCCATGAGCAACAGGTGAGGACCTCTCACCACTGATAACAGCTTCTTGTGCCATTACTAATATGAAATTTAGAGCATAAGGAAGAGATATTCAGGGGGTAGAAATGAAGTGTTTGGGATGACTTTTAAAGTACTGACAGTTATCAGTGATTAAAGGGAGATTTAATTACTCTAATTCTGTTACAATAATTAACAGCTTAAAGAGCACTCATTTGATTTTTATGAAGGTAAGTAATTATCCCCATTTTACAGATAAATAAACTGAGGGTCACAGAGGATAAGATTCTTATACAAGTTACATGGCTAAAAATGATCAGACATTTTAATTAAATACAACCGTTCTGACTCCAAGTCCTAAGAAACCATTACCTCTTTGTGTAGAAGAGCTGACTTATTCACATAATTTGGAAAGCTTTGTATTACCAGTAAAAGGAAAAATGGTATTCTGGTTATCTCCAATAAATAGAAAATTCAATCGGCCAGAACTGTTATAGCTCACTTTTCAAATGCTGTGATATCTTAAGTATTTTAATCTGCAAGCAACATAATTTTCCTCAGGAAACATTTGACAAAAGTGTGAATGTATGCGCACTGTAACAACCAATTTTGCTCCTTAAACAGTTATATTCAAAGTCATACTATTAAACTCACAAGTTAGCTAACACACTGTGAAACCTGTTGTTCTACAAGGTTTTCACTGTGTTTTTCCTGAGGAATTCTGTGTTTCTGAATCCAGAGCAGAAGAATTAGAAAATGAAAATGTTCCTTCTCCAAGTGTTCACTCACCTCTGTTTACCTTTGTGATCCACAGAGCCAGCAGAGAGTCTGTCTAGGGGAGACCCAAAACCAGAGAAGCTCCTTTTCTTCTTTGTTTCAATCACATCATTCTCCAGAGACACAAGTTCATCAAGAAGCATGAGTTTTGCTGCCAGATCAGCTGCTGATTTATCTTCCCTGGCTGTGGGTGATGACTGCACATCTCTGATTCCAGCGTCAAAAGCCTGTTGAGCAAGAAAGGTGATTCCATTCACCTCAAATATGTGCAATCATGTGCATTTGGCTTTTGCTATCTTTAGCTGACATGCCTGTAATGGAACGTGATTTTCTGTGGAGTTATGATTCAGAGACACTTTTGGGGACAAAAACATCTAGAAGTGAGGTATACCGAACAGAATTTGAAGTAAAACAAAATACACACACACATAACCCAAAAAAACCCTCCATTCCTGCCTCTTAGATTCAGTATATTAACTTATCCTTCTTTTGGCTTCTTTCTCAGTAACAACTGCATCCTTCGTTGTTGTTCCCATAGCATTTTAGCTATACTTCTTTGACCCTTGCATTCATTACATTTTCCTCTGTATTGGACTGATTATAATATATTTGGATTATACTAGAATGTGAGTAACTTGAGGACAATGATTATGTCTAATTACTCTTTTATTTGCTCTGTTCAATGACTATCCCAGTATTTTGTTCATAGTTAGTACTCAATAAATTTCTGATAAACATTTATTGAATTAATTCTGAAAAACACTAAGCTTCATGCTATTTTTTTAACCACTCATTCATTTCTTATTGATTCAAGCCACTAAGCATTCGCTATGTACCATGTTCTGCATTAGACCTAAGGGATATAAAAATGAACCAAGTCTAGTAATCTGCTCTCAGGGGACTTACCATTTCCATCCATGGGATTTATTAACAAATATTAATGAGTGTCTGCATTGATTTCCCAATGACTTTATTGCCCCATGTAAAATTCCCTGTTTGTTTATTTGTCTGTTGCACATATGGCAACAGACAAATAAACAAATTTGTAGTTCATCCAAATTAACTTGTCTTTCTGAGATGTCCTCACATTTTTTTCCTTTGTACTTTATTAGCAAGAAGAAAATATTTGTACAGTAATGAGAAGTTTGGCCCAAACTACTCAAATTTTGACAGGTAAACAACTTCAAATTTCACATAAAAGCACTTCGAATTCATGTAATTGATTTAATTATATATATGGCTGAAATGATAATAAATTTTCTATCATGATTTTTGTTCAAGGAATAAAAATCTTAGTTATTCCATTTTTTGTTGTTGTTTTTTTAACATTTAAATACCTGGCTTTCTCTGAATCCACAGTGAGCACGAGACATAGAAAAAAATGCCAATTTCTTGATTTTGTGTTATGAAGGCCTCTCCCTATTTGTCAGCAGCACCTGCTCTGAAATTAGTAGAAATGGCTTATGTTCATAGAAAATATATCTGGTCCCTTAAGCTAGTTCCCATTACCTCTGTTGCTACATCCACTGAGAGCACTTTTCCTGAGCTCCACAGCATCAATGTCACAGCCAGGATAAAATGTGCATTTGCCAACCTCCAGTCCAGCATCTAAGGGTCACATATATCAGGGTTAACATTATTAGTTTGGCATATAATGATAATAAACAAAACTCCTATAAAGCTTCTTATATACAGGTGATAAACCAAATTATTTAACTTCAATATGCTGGAGAACACCTTTACCAAACTTAAATTATAGTTAATAAAAGCTGTCAGTGTCCCAGAATGAATTCTATCAAGGCTTCATTTCCATGGAAATGCAGATTGGAGTTGTACAGCTATAATAATAATTTAATTCAAAGTACCCAAGTCTAAGAAATCTAGTTTGACTGTCTAATCTATTGTTTGACTGTCTAACCCAGGGATTACAGCCTCATGTACCTAAGGGAATATGTGTAAAATTGGTCAGGTATGAGAGAATGTCTGGTGAGGTCTGTGGTGAACCAGAGAGAATGTGCTTTTTTGAAAAGCATTTAAATTCAGAATGTCTTAGTCACTACAGATCCAATAGGAGAATATCTTAATGTCCTTGTGATATATAAAGATTTCTTACGCAAGATTCATAAGGTGTATCCCTTATAGAAAATACTGTCAAATTTTATTATATCAAAATTGAAAAACTCTGTATGATAAGATACAATAAACAAAATAAAAACAAGTTTAAAAGTGGTATATATTTACAATACATATAAATAAAAGCAGCACTTGGAAAATTTAAATAACTCAGGTGAATAAAATTCTAAAACTAGATACACAATTAAGTAAAAATGGCCCCAAGTTTATACAAAAATATGTATCTGAAAGTTCTTAGCCTCACTGTTTAGAAGAGTAAAAAATTAGAATCAACCCAACTAACCTGCTCAAGAAGAAATGGATTCATCAATTAAGCTATGTTCATACCATGGACTTAAACAAATGACTTAAACGTATATGTATCTACTGTTAAAACAAATGACCTAAATGTTATATGTATTTATATGCATGGATTTCAAAAACAGTTTTGGGGAAAATTAGATTTTCTAGAACATTACATATAGCATACTACCATCTACCTAAATTGAAAATACACAAAGCAATTCCATATAGTTAGAAATCTATGCATATAATTAAAGTAGAAACTGATGGAACTTAATTCATGACTATGATTGCCTTTGGGGAGAGTGAGAAACAAATAAGGATTATGGGGGAAATGTGAGAGACTCAGCATATGCAGGGTGTCCTCTAAAATGTACACACACTTTAACAGCTGAAAGCTGAATTTTGAAAATGAAATGTATTTTCATAAACACTGCCTATATAATTATTCAAAGGGTGTGTATGTCCCCCCAAAATGTATACATACACTTTGAATAATTATTAATTCCAATGGGTTAAATATGAAAAGAAACAAACATCAATTGAGCTTTCAGAAAAAAGTGTGTATACATTTTTGGGGACACTTTTTTATAGCAAAATATTACATTTGTTAATTCTGAGTGGTAAGTACAAAGATGTGTCACTTATGATTTTTTTACATTAAAAATCATTCTATATCCAATTAAAGCTTATCTATGGTCCATATGAGGCCTGTTGGCTGCCAGTTTGGTCGCTGATAAAGGGGGAGGGAACGTCAGGGACTGTGAGTTACAACAGAACGGGCTTGAATTTGCCACCTAGTGTAGCACTGGAAAGTCCCCCAGTCCACCTTTTATGAAAGAGAAGTCTCAGTAATCTTTTACTTCCCTTAAAAAAAAAACATTTGGAAACCTGCTGGGAGCAAAAAGAAAGGGGATCTAGGATAGATCAGAAGAACTGGATTTGTGTCTTGTTTTTGCTTCAGCGTTGGTGTGACCTTGAGTGTGTACCATTGAACCTACTTGAGCTTTATTTTCCATATTTGTGAAGTGAGGAGCAATTCTCGCCGCAAAAGAGCTTTGAGAGGGTTGGGTTCATTCATGTATAACCTCTTTATCTCATATAGCGTTTATAATTTGTAAGTAAAAGAACATATATATAACTAAATATTTTTTCAGTAACTACATTCTCTTTGGTGTAACCCAAGATTTTCTTTGTGATGCTTCCTTAAAATCTTGTTACTATGAAACCTTGGTGTAGATTTTAGTAATAGATGCTATCTTCTAGAAAATAGACAAATACGTGTTTTATGTAGACAGAGTAACATCTGTATTAACCATGTGTATTAAGACTTAAAATGAAGATAAAATACTTCAGCATTGGCCTTCCCATTTATTTGTCAAATATAATCTTAATTTTCTTGTAATGTAGTCTAAACTAGTTCTTCATTATATCTCCATTTGATCTATTTTGGAACCTTGTCACATAATGTTAGTCACAACTGCTTCTCTGTATTCTGCCCTTTCTGGAAAGGGGTTGTAAATTCTGTTCTCTTCCTGACAAATTGATATTTGAACTGAATTTTATGGTAAGTATAAAAACAATAAATCGTGATTATATCTCTATATTGAGACAGTAGAAAAATAACAAAAGAGAATGCAACACTATCTGGTAAAAGTAACAATAAAAAACTGCATTACCTATTCCTTTAAAAAATCAGCTCCTGATTCATATTTTTTCCTTCTGATTTTGTTGTCTCTTTGATTTTCCTCAATAAAATGGAGATATATTAAAAACATGACTATTTTAAAAATTTGTTCATATTTCTGGCATCTTTCTTTTTAAAATAGTTCTCTCATTCAATCAAAGATAAACCACAATTGTGATGTTTTCCTTCCTCGTTTTTTTATCATGTTAAAAACAGGTTACAAAGTATAAAATTGCCCAATTTTATAAGCCTTTCCATGTGGATTTCCTTTAACTATTTTTATGCACATTTTCCTAACCAGGTTTCTCCATCTCTGCGATCTTATAAATGGCACAGGATGACGGGTGTTTACAATATTGATGATTATGTCTGAAGCATATATTTTTGTGCTTGGGTGTATATAGGAAAAAAGTCATAATGTATCATCTTACAGATAACCACATCCTGATTATTTGGATAGGGAGATGTAAAAATAAATGCAGAGTTTAAATACACACATTTAATGGTTTAAAGCCATGCTTGTAGCCAGTTAACCAAAAGGCCAAGTTCCTAAATATGGCATTTGGTACACTAATGAAAACAAACACCCTGGCACCTGCCACACAAAAGACATTTGATTAACTAGTTGAAACTTGATTGCTACAAAATTAGAAACAGAGGAAATTATAGGGAGGGAAGGAAAAGACTAGGTTCAGCTCCATTTCCCTATTTTGTTGATAGTGGATAAATATAGCCCATGATTTAAAAATCTGCTCAGCCCCATGTATACTCTAGATCATAGAAAAAACATTCAAAGGATGTTCATTGTGTGAATACCCCAAAGTGGAGGTGTTTGCAATGTTTTCAGAACACCAATAATTTTTGAGTAATACTTGAGTAATATTCCTTTGGGTAGTGAGGAGCTTCAAGAGACAGTGGGCATGAGACCTGCCTTAAGATTTGGTGTGGACTTCATTTTTTCTTTTAGCTAGTTGGTCTATTATGTGTATGCATTTTCACTTTTTAGATAATGCTGCTGAAAAAACAAACATCTTACACTGTGTAACAACTTAATCTTTGTGCCAAACACTTTCTACATTTAAGAACTCATTGTATCCCCTATGGGACCTTCCAATCTGTGACTGGAGTGGTGGTGGAGGGAGCGAGGGGGTGAGGCGTGAAGTTTGATCAGTTAAGTTGGGGAAACAACTAAATGTTTCTATTTAGAATATTGATGGTGCATTGATTGACATATAAAAACTCCGAAAGTTCAGTAGTAAAGCAACTGACTTAATTATATTTAAAGCAACATTACATGAGAAGTCTTAAAATGAAGAAAGATACTTGCACCGTTGAGAATCAGTGCTGCAATGAGTCATTGTTACAGTAAAAAAATCTGTTAAATGGGTTGTGGCAGCAAAAGAAAAGATTGAGAATCACTGATCTAAAAACAAAAGAACAACCCGGGATGATGGGAGGTGTTAGAGCAAGAGAGCATAAAGCTACAAAGAAGAAGCAATATTAACCAATATCTGATCGAATGCACTTTTTAACTAAAAACTTTTTTTTAGTTCTTACCCAAGGACATGCTTTTTATTGATTTTAGAGAGAGAGGAAGGGAAAGGGAGAGAGAGGAAGAGAGAAACATCGATGGGCTGCCTCTGCACAGGGATCGAACCCAGACCTGGGCCTGGGCCCTGACCCGGGACAGAACCAATGAACTTTCAGTATAAGGGGCAACACTCCAGCCAACTGAGCCACACCGGCCAGGGCTTAACTAAAACCTTTAAACTACCTGTCCCTGAGGGCCGGTGTTGAAGAAAAACTCTATTCAGGTGATTAAGGAAACTTCTCTTCAACAGTATCTGACATAGATAGCAGATCTAAGCATCAGACCTCATAAGAAGACTGAATTTGGGGGGGGTTAATCTTGAAAACCCTTGGAATTATTTTCCCTAACTTCTTGATTGGAAGTACTCAAAATTGACTCCACTCACCCCTATTTTCAACAAAAATTAAAAATAAAGGGCTTACCAATAAAGGACTTAAAAAGTAATTAAAATTTTTTTATCTTTTCTTCCCATTTTGACAGAGCATAGACATTTAAGTGAGATAGAATAGGACATGTTATTAATGGTCCCAAGTTCAGACACTAGGAAATGACCATGTATGCCTGTCCACAACACTGCCCACAATCTTCCTTCTCGGAAAATCGTGGTGGTCTTCTAGACAGGAGGCAAGTCAGCTTGGCCCCTCAGTAAATCTGTAAATAGAGTACGCTCTTTAGTACTCCCTTTACCCTGCCCCATAAGTTATAGCCACCCAGGCCTTTTTGATAATAGAGAAACTGTCCAAATTGTCTTTAAAACTCACTTTATGAATTCACAAAATTTAAATGAATTAATTATAGTTCCTTTAAACTATGCAATTAATTTACAAATAGCATAAATTATTATGGTTTTGGCTTAGGTTTTCCAAATAAGAGCAAAAAAAATATTGAATGTATATTTATAAATATAGTTACTGAAATATATACAGATATACGTCATCTGTATAAAAACACTGCATCATTTTTCCTCTTATTTTATCATAGGTAAAAATTTTTCAGTGGGAACTCTAAATTGTGCATGAAAACATTTTGTAAACTCTAAGGTAATGTGGAAAGATGAATGACATGCTATAAAAGTCATTATTACTGAGCTGAAGGCAGGTCTTTGAAGCCAGTTCCTTCCAGGGAACATAAAGCTTATACTTAACAACCATCTAGGGAATCGGGGGCCATTTATTGAGACAATCTGCAAAACGTATGTTAAACAACCAAGAGGATACGTTGCAATTTGACGTTACCCAGATAGTCTTGGCATTTCAATTAATGACATTTAAATAGTGTATGAAAAAAGTTGTTTCTGGTTTTCTTTGATGAGGGAAGCAGCCAGGTGCTCGAGACACTTGCCTTTTGGGAACAGAGGCTAGGGTTTCACAGTCTCCTCTTTACTGGCGCTGGGATTACCCAGCTTTAGTGAAATCGGCTCCACCACCTTGAGAGCTGAGTGTGGCTGTGGCGCTCAAAGCTTTACAAGGGGGGGATTAGTTTCAGGCCCTTATAAACTCAAGTAAGAAATTGAAAATCGCTGAGGATTTCATCCAAGAGCAACTGAATGACAACTTGTAGCCTCTGTCACATATACATCACCCAAATCATCTCCGTGAAAATACATCTGAGAAATACTCAGTGGGCTTAGCCATTTATTTAAAAGCCTCTTTGTGAAATTTGTTGTTTTCTGTAAATTGTGGGGTGGTCACCTTGCTTTGTGTTTTGAGGATGATTCCAAAAGGAAAGTGCAAATTGACACTGACAGATGTAACGTTTTTCGTTTTTATTTTTAATTAAAATATCAGGAATGTGTTCTTTCCCATTTCTCACTGCTCTTCAATCAGCAGTAGTAAATTTTCCAAAGTTACAGTGATTTAGGAGAAGAGCCAGAACAACAACTTACATTCTCAGACACTCAGTTTCATGCTCCTTGAAGGATAGCCTATTTGTGGAAGTATAAAGCATTTTTCCATCTCCAAAAAAAATTGCTTATTTAGTAAAATGTTTATGGATGAGGTGTTCCTAATGTGGAAGACACCTGTATTTTAAAATGCCTTTCCCTGAATGCTACAAATCAGGAAAAATGATAATTTACTATCATACATGTGTTAACTAATTTTATTCTTTTTGGCAGCATTTTCATTCTTTTTTAGACACTACTGCCTTCCAAAATTGTAAAAATTTTTTCTATTTGGAATTTTCAATAACATTACTAGTTGCAAAAAAATTAAGGTGCTAGAAACCAACAATGACACTTTAAAGCAGATCCCATTATTAAAAAGCCCAGGTATGTATGTTTAACAAAGTATTTAGTTGTCAGTGTCAACTCTCTGAGGGTAGGAATTATGTCATGTTCACCAGTGTGCCTCAGCACCCAACAGAATGCTTGGTATAGAGTTGACATTATGTGTTGAATAAGTGCATGGAGTAGCCTTATGTGGTGGTAAATAGGAATGCAGGACAGATGTTAACAATCCTATTTTATTGATATGGAAACTAAAGTTTAGAGAATGTGAGAGATTTGCCCAAATTTTATGCCTATAGCAATATGTGAGAAAGTTCATGGCCAGATCCCAGTATGTCCATTAACATTTCACATTGCAGATTCTCATTCTAATGAAAGGGACTTGCATCAATATTCTCCAATAATTACCCCAGTACAGTATACAATTTCTTCTTCACAAACATTAGTTTATGTTGAGATCCCTGAATTAGCATTGTCACCTAGAAGTAGAAAAGAATGTTGTGTATGGTTGTATACAAATCAGGTAAAGGCATTTCTTGTTTAATTCTAATGCTTAATAAAGGGAAAAAACATGAATCTTTAAAACTGTGGACAGAAAAAGCTGTTGGAGCTGCACATGACACGCTGCTTGGCTATTTGATACACAGGCAATTTTCATGTGGTGCCAAACGGCTTTCAAAGGGTTAAGTTGGATAAATGCAGTTAAATAAGTCATAATAAGGCTCAGGATAATGTGGAATATCATCACCTCCTTCATCCTTTATCCTAGTTTGTACTTATATGTAATATTTAATTAAATATTGGCTTACATTTTCATCACACCGAACTATCCAATATAATCAATGAAAAATACTCTCTAAAATGTAAATGAAAGGACAAAAAAATAAATTATATAATAACAACAGGATATGTATTAGATATACACTGCATATCAGATACCAGGGGTGTAAAAGTGAGTAAGACACTCTCCATGTTGCTCACAGCCTGGTTGGCAAGGAAGCCCCCCAACCATTGCCCAGCCGGGGATTTCCTTCCCCAACAGCACACTCTTCCTGGAATGCTTCTGTTTCCCTCAAGCGCAATTTTCGTATATAACCTTTTCTTCAAAAACCATTTGCAACTACTTTATTATTCTGAAATTCATCTATCTCCTTTCATCCTCATAACAGTCATGTTAGGCCTATATGGAAAATAGTATAATTCTATTATTTTAATAGATGAATGGACACAACCTGGGTTACTTTAAAACTCTGGTCTCCTAACTTCTGGTAATGTGTGGGACTTGCCAACACAACCAAGCCAATTAGTAGAAAGAGGTTGGTTGGCCCTTAAGTTACCTGGGTATGATTCTTGACTGGGCATGTTACTTAGCTTCTCTGGTTTAATATCTTTATTGGGAAAATGGGGCAAGGACTTACTTTGTAGGTTTATTGTAAGGATTAGAAATAATATAGGTAAAGTGACTGGCACAAAGTAGTTTTTCAATAAATAATAGCAGTCATCCTGATAGTGCCTTCTGAATATGGCAACTTTTCAAAATATGTATATTTTTAAGGGAGAAGGAGGCAGAGGGAGAGATAGAAACATCAGTGATGAAAGTCATTGGTCAGCTGCCTCCTGCACGCCCCCCACTGGGGATTGAGCTCCCAACCTGGGCATGTGCCTTGACTGGGAATCGAACCATGATCTCCTGGATCCTATGTAGATGCTCAGCCACTGAGCAATGCCTGGCCAGGCTCAAAATAATTGTTATTATTTTTATGAAAAAAACAACAACACACCTTTGTTATCCTTGTTCATTTTAAGGAACAAAGTTAGTCTTTGGAATCTAGAATTATAGCAGAGTGATAGAAAATAAGATTTAATAAAGAAAGTAATATTGAGTAGGGGAAGAAAATTTCACTAAAGAGACTCACAAGTGGCAATCACTCTAACATTTGATATTACAGAATATTACACATTGTTGCTAATTTCAGCCATATTATTTCTATCAAAATATTAGCATATAACTATAGAGGATGTCGTAATGGAAAGAAAACAAAGGGAAGAAATCTCAGTTACACTCAAAACAATTACTCTTCAAGCTCTAATTAACAAAAATGAATATTTAGTTGAATTGTAAAATAATTTTATATGAAATATATTTTTTGCTTTATAGTTCATAAGATCTTTATTGACCCCATTTTTTTTTTAAAGTCATGAATTATGTTGTGAGAATCATGATTTCACATAGTTTCTGTGAAACTGACAGTACAGCATAGTGAGATCTGTGTCATGGAAGTAGAGTCACCATGGCTGTTATAGGAATTAAGGACCTTGTGACAGGAAATACACTTTACACAAGCATGGGAGCATCTGGGAAGGGGTGGGTTTCGAAGGAGATCAAGGAAGAGAGGACATGACTTTCTAATCTTCTTAGAGCCCTGACATGGATGCACAAGTCAGAGCTTGCAGGGAAATGCCACCTCCACCACGGGGCCCCAGGGAAGTCCATGGACAGGTCCACGGGGAGCCACAGCCATGACTTGGTGGGTCAGCAGCACGGTGCCGGTGGTGAGCCGGATGATATTTTAAAAGTGCATTTTTTTTCACATGTTTAAGGACTTATATGTCACAGGAATATATAATTTTAGAATGGAAGGGGGTGCTCATCAGAAATTGTCAAATTTAAGCAATCCATAGGTGAAGAGAGTGAGGCTCAGGGACCATTTCTTTGCCTGGGGGAGAGGAGATGAAGGGGAGATGTAAAATAGATGGAGAGGAGGGACCGGGGTGCAGGTGCATGGTGCTGAGGCCTGAGCTGATGGGGCATCCACAAGGGGCAGGGCGCAGGGCCAACCAAGGAACCAGCAGTCACGGGCGGGTGCTGCTAACCACTGCTGCAGAGAGGCACCCTGAGAATTATTTGGAGAAAGGAGAGGAGGGCTCAGCCAAAAAAATGCCTTTAATTAGAGGGATCTTTGGGCAAATGGCAGCTGGCCTCGGTAGAGGTGTGTGCAGGGCTGGGAGAGAACTTTTGAGGGAGAAGGAATCCCTAGGAGGTGCGTGAAAGCTGCTGAAGTTAGAAGTGAGATTAGAAGTCTGGTTTCCTGACCAAAGCTTGTGTTCTTCCGATGGTGCCACTGAATCTAAGCAAAGGTTGTCCGGTGGGTAGGGATCACAGAAGATGAAACATTGGCAAGGAGGTTAAGTTAGATGATGTCTAGAGATCAGTCCCAAGGTTCTCTTATACTGGGTGCTCATTCTCTAATACGGGGAAAACTGCTCATATGGCACCTTTCCCAGGTCATTCATACGCTCAGTCTCCCTGGCCTTCTGGTTCTTTTTTCCTCTTTGAGTAATAACAGAATATTATTGAGCCCACTGTATGCTTAAGGCTTGCCTGAACTTGCACAACTGCATAGTGACAGAGTTGGGTTCATATTTTGGGACTGCTTCCTTGGAGTTGTATTCCTTTAAGAGAAGCTCAATTAATCTAATTTTATTATACAAATGTTCAAATCACTGAAAGTGTTTGAATAAGAAGTTGAAATTTTTGCCCTGATGTCCCAAACTATTAAACATATCTGCTTCTCTTCTTTCTATAATTTGTTAAAGAAGAATCAGTTCAAAACTCTGAGAAACAAGGAGAATACAAATGTCAACCTTAAATGCCTTAAATAACTTATTGAATGAAACCATAGTGCAATTCACTTACAAAGAGGAGACTTAAATTCATATCCACAGGAGGCTCTCCTTAGAAAAGTACTATGATTGCTGAAGGGTATCAAAGTAAAGAGGAGGCACAAAATCTGCCTGATATTTTTATGAAGATAATTAAATATAACCCTATCAAATCTATAGCCTATATAGGCATTAAAATCATCATAAATCATTGTTAAAATGATTTAATTTCTAGAAAAATAACTCATAAATAATCACATTTCTAAATCTATAGACTCTATTATTGTAATTTGAAGGAGCAGTAGATTGCATTGCTAAACTGGATTTATCAAGTGTACACTGTTTCCACAGAACAAAACCTGGAACAAAATTCTAAATTTGTTTTTAACATAACTCAAATGTATGTTTCAGATTAACTTTCAATTCAATCATTTAATAGCAAAAGCACTTCATCAAATACTGAAGAATAAACATGATCTGTCTACTCTAAACTGTTATTAATACCATACTTGCATATTTGAGTTTCATAAGAAGAAAAACAGAGAATAATTTAGATTTAAAGAATGTAGAATTTGATTAATTTAGGAATGTTTCTTTGGCTCCAGTTAAGAAAGGAATAAAGATAAGAGAAAAATTTTCCTTTTTACCTAGGTTTTTAGAAAGGGTCTCTTTTGTACATTAAAAAACTTTCTACATTGAACATCTTTGATGGAAGCAAACTAATACTATTAGAACACATATAGGATTATCATCTTCAGTTCCCTTTCTCTTTGTTTTGAAATGGAATACAAAAACTAAAAAACAATGTAATAAATATGGAATGTCTGAGGAAACAGCTTCACCCGAAGTTTGCATTACAACACTATCTTCTTAGATTTTTCTACTCATTTTAGAGATGAAAATATTACCCCCACAAAACATTTCTAACTTTAAGAAAATCAAAATACAACCAAAACATTTAGAAAGTATGTAAAAAATTTTAAATAGTTAAAAGGAAAAACCCCACAAATTTTTATCAGCTTTTATATTTAACTTACCTTGTGAAAAATCAGGAGGTTCTAACTTTAGAGTCCTGTCTGTACAGTTTCTCCCAATCTCAGCCCTGATGGTGAGTTTTCTCTCTGAGTTTTTATAGTCTCAGTTATACACCCCTTACTCCAATCCCTGCCTTTGCTTTCTCTTACATCATTTCTACAGATTTTCCACTGAACATTTCCCCAAGCCTCTCTTCAACCTCTCTCTCTTTCCTTCTCCTATTCTTTCTCTTCATATTTATTATATCTATTGCTTTGATCATGACATTTTAGTAAAAGTGGGAGTTTGGGCTCTGGAAAATTTAAGTATACATATAATATTGTGTTTCAGCCTTAGACCCATCACCTCTTCCTGAGGTTTTTAGTCCAGCTCAGATAATTACAAATCGTATTTGGGAAATAAATTGCACTAAGATTTGTTTTAAAAAAATCACTAGGGCATTTCAAAGTAAGATTTTAGGAGATTATAATCAGAAACCCAAATTGATTAATTGTTGTATATTTTGGCCCCTTGAATTAAATGATCATCTATGGAAATGGAGTGTAGTTTCAGGCTCGGTCAGGTGAACAGGCTGTGTCAGTGGAACTGACAGCTACTTCGTAATTAACATTGCTATACTGGGAAGGCTGTCCCAACAAACCTATAAATACTGAACTGTGACATGTGGGCTATAAATGCAGACGTTGTAACCATTCTTATCTTGCTCTTGTTCTCTAGTACTTTAATTTCCTTTTAACCAAAACATTCCCTGCCTCTGTCTGAAAGTTTTCTGCATTCTCCTTTCCTACTAAACCGTATTTGCAACTTTACATACACAAATTGTAAAATGGAGTTATTAAGTCCTAAAGGTAGTATGCTAATTTGTTAGATCACTCTTAGCTCATTTGATACACCACTAGATCCCCATTTGTCAGATAAAGAAACTGAGGCTAGATAAATTGAGTTTACGAGATCACACAGCTAGAAGTAGTAGCAGAGCCAGATTTCAAATACAGATCTTCTTAATTCCACACCCAGTTCTTTCCCCACAACTTCATTCTGTCTCACTATTTCGAAAGCTAGAAAAGAGAATCCAAACCATATTATGTTTTTGCACAAATAGAAATAAACTTGTTCTTTTTGGTTTTGCTTAAAAAGCCATTTAAAACACTGCTCACTAGTATAGGAACTATTACATGGTTAATTTGGATCTAGATGGGGAACTGACCAGAGCACACTTGAATTGGTGGGACAGTAAAATGCTTCATTTTTATGAAGGGTTTCCAGGGATAACATATGTCTCAACAAGCTTGAAATCTGAGTAGTTGGCAGCGATAGTTCACAAGTCAAGATAAAAATACAGCCTAATTGTGGACTCTTGTTTAGACATTACTGCCATAAAACGATTATGTTAGCTTGAATCCACATGATGGAAAACTCTCAATATAGATTTAACGGATGCATCATAATGCTACCAGAAGCCAATATTCTTGACGTACCTTCTCCCCTTATTTGAAACGCCTCCCTCAGCATGCTGACAAGTGATATCTGTGGCTGATTTATTCCAGATCTGTCCCTGCTTAGACAGTCCAAAGATTCCACCCTATTTGTGGATTTTGTTGACCTAATTCAAAAGTTTGACTTAACTGTTCTGCAACAGTAGAAATAGCAACAGTTTATTCCAGGAACATAACCATGGTACATTTAAGCCATTTATACAGGGTTCTGCACATTATATACCCCTATGTAAATTACTGATGCATTTGTACATAATGGAAACATTCTGTTATCTTAAAAAAGAAAGTAGAAATGGAACCATGTGAAGAAATAGAAAGAGAAACAGCAGTGATGGATGGGAAAGACTGAGACGAGAAAGGGAGAAAATATTAATGAAAAATTTTCAGTTACTATAGCATAATTTCATTCCCATAACAATCTTGTAAAGGAGGTAGTATTACTCATATATAACAGATGAGAAAACTAAAGCTCAAATATGTGAAATGGAGAGCCTAGGTGCTCACAGCTTAAAAAACGATGGGACCAGGAGCTGACTGCTGCTCCGTCAGTCGGGATTCTGGTAGGAAAGAAATGGCACATTCAAATTGAGTAATTGGGGGAGAATTTCTGAGTGAACATTTTGAGCAGATAAAAATAAATTTATTATTATATATTGATCTTGTATTCTGTGATCTTGGTAAACCCATTAATTAGTTCTAGTCAGTTTTTGTAGGTTACATAGTATTTTCTACATATAAAAATCCTCTTATTTGGGAATAAAAATGTTTTGTATCTTCTGTTTCAATTTGTATGTCTCATTACTTTGTAATTGCCTACTTCCATCTGGAGGTCCTCCAGTGCAATACTGAATAGAAGTAGAAAGTGAACATCCTTGCCTGTTCTTTGTTTTTTTTTCTAGCCTGAGAATATGTTTTTTATTGATTTTAAAGAAAGGAAGGGAGAGAGAGAGAGAGAACCATCTATGCAAGAGAGAAACATCCATCTGTTGCCTCGTGTAGGCGCCCCACCAGGGATTGAACCTGCAAACTAAGTATGTGCCCTAATTGGAATAGGACCCACCTCCTGTAAGTGTATGAGACGACTGGGCAACACCAGCCAGGGCCATCTTCGCCTGTTCTCGATCTTGGGGTGGGCATTCATTTTTTCACCATTACACTCTTGCCTTCTAAGATAAAATCCACTTGATCATGATATAGTATCCTTTTCTATATTGTTATAAAATGCTAATACTTTTTAAGGATCTTTATTTAAGTGGAATATAGGCCTTTTATTTGTTTAAAAAATATTTTTCAGGTTTTGGTATCAGGGTTATGCTGATCTCATATAACGACTGGGAAGAATTAGACCCTTGTCTTAGACCATTCAGGCTGTTATAACAAAAATACTGTTTAAGTGGCTTAAACAACAAACATTTACAGTAGTTCTCATGTTCCGGGGCCTGGAAAGTCCAAGGTCAGAGTGCCTGAAGGTTTGGTGACTGATTGGGGCCTACTTACTGGTTCAGAGATGGTGGCTTTCTCATTGCATCCTCACATGACAGGAAAAGTGAGAGAGCTATTGGGGCCTATTTTATAAGGGCAGGAATCCCACTCATGAGACCTCCACCTTCATGACCCAGTCAATTCCCAAAGACCCACCTCCTAACCCCATCCCATTGGGGGGTCAGATTTCAACATATTAATTTGGGGGGAGCACATTCAATTAGCCCCATATATTTTCTCAAAGAGTTTGTGTGGAATTTGTATTATTTTCTCCTAAAATGTTTGGTAGATTTACCAGTGAAGTCACCTGTGCCTGTGGAAAGGTTTTTAACAAAAACTTCAAACTCTTTTATAGATATAAGGTTAATCATTTTAGCTAATTTTCCAAGTGAATTCTCATAGCTTGCATCTTTCTAGTAATATGTCCATTTCATTAAATTATTGAATTAAAATTATTGTACTACTCTCTCTTTTCCTTTTAATATTTGTATGATCTGTGGAGATGTTCCCTGTTTCATTAACAATTTTGGTATTCTTTTTCATTGATCAGTTTCTAGGATTTTGTCAATTTTATTTATCTATTCAAAGAATTTGCATTTGGTTGCATTGATTTTTCTCTACTATTTTCATCATTTTATTTTACTGATTTCTTCTTTCTATTGTTTCATTTTTTTTCTGATTTGGATTTAATTTGCTCACCTTTTTCAACATTATTTTAACAAAGATGTTTAGATTTTTGATTATAGATATTTCTTTCCTTTTAATATAGGCATTTATTGCTATATGTTTTCCTCTAAGCACTGTTCTAGTTATATTCTATGCATTTTGATATGCTCTGTTTTCATGTTTTATATAATTTGGAATATTTTCTAATTTTCTTAAAAATTTTTGACTACAGGTTATTTGGAAATATCTCATTTAACTTTCAAAGTTTTGGTAATTTTCTATGTATTTTTCTGTTATTTATTTCTGATTTAATTGTTTTATAGTTAAGAAACATACTTTGTATTATTTCAGTTACTTTAAATCTGTCAAGATTTGTTTTAAAACCAACAATATAGTTGTCTACTTTGGTGAAGTTTCATTTGGGCTTTAAAAATAATATACATTCTATTCTTATTAGGTGTAGTGCTCTATAAATCTTAATGAAGTTAAATTACTGATAATGTTCATATCTATATTTTTAATGATTCTTGTCTGCTTGCTCTCCCAGTTACTGAGGAACAATTGCTGATGTCCAGAACAATTGATAATTTCTATATTTCTGCTTTTAGCTCTATTAGCATTTGCATTTAAATGTTTAAGCTCTTTATACAGCTCTTTATTATTGTGTAATTTATCTTTTTATCCAGAATAAAATTCTTTGAAGTTTACTTTTTCTGATATTAATATGTTTATTATAGCTTTCTTTTGATTATTCTTGGCATGGTATATTTCCCCCCCCACATCCTTTTACTTATAAATTTATGCCATTATATTTAAAAAATGGGTTCCTATAGAGAGCATAGAATTGGTTCTTACTCCTCCTGTCCAATCTGTTAACCTTAAATTTCAATTGGTGTATTTTGACCATTTGCATTTAATGCAATTATTGATACATTTAAAACTACCATCTGAAAATTTTTCTTTTTGTTTTATGTGTTCTCTGTTTCATTTCTTCTCTTTTGCCTTGTTTTGGATTATTATTTTTTAGATGTTGCTACACGTTTACAATATGTATTGTTATACTGCCAGTCTTCCTTCAAATCATATTGTCCCACTTCACGTATAAAGCAACAATGTTTCAACAATACATTTTTATTTTATCCCTCTAATCTTTTACATTTATACTATTATTATCATACATTTAAATTTTAACTGTTATAAACCTCACATCTTTTTCTAATTTTGATTTACACTGTTATTTTTAATGATATAATTTTTTTAAAATGTATAGTTACGTATATTTACCATTGCTGATGGCACTCTTTGTATGTGTGCTTAGATGTACTTTTCCATGTAGTATCACCTTCCTTTTGCATAAAAAACTTCCCTTAACATTTCTTTTAGTGTTTTGTATAAACAATGTTTAAT